CCATAATTATTCCTTTTAGTGCACGTACATAACATTCCCCTTTTCGAAATTCGAAAAACAAAAATTTCGCAGTTAATAGACTATTCGTACAATTTTACTTCAGCAATGCTTAAGCCGCTGAATTAAAAACGTTTCAAATAGATCAGGATCGTTTCGAACGATTCTTCAGGCTCGTCGACGAAGTGCAAAGGGTTAACGCGTGTACCAAATATTTCGTTACAACGTTTCTCGCGGCGCATCGTTCGGTGGCGCAGGACGTGTTTTACCTACGTGCGAGACGACGACGACTCCTCGGCCACCGAGTCTGCCGAAAGGCAAGCGAGACGGACAGAGAGAGAGAGAGAGAGAGAGAGAGAGAGCGGGAGAGAGAGATAGAGAGAGAGAGAGAGGGAGAGAGTGGGAGAGAGAGAGAGCTAGCAAGAGAGAGTGAGAGCTAGCAAGAGAGAGGGAGAGAGAGAGAGCGATCAAGACATAGCAATCGAGAGAGAGAGAGAGAGAGAGACAGACGCGAAGTTGAGAATGATCCCTGAGGCGTGCACGGCTGCCCAGCCAGCAGCTAATTAATTAACGTCGCTATAACGAACCACACATGCTCTTTATACACAATCTTCTTACACCGTACGCTTCTGTGTTTGTCCTGTGTACATATGTAGATAATACACACACACACACATACATACACGTGCATCCATACATACGCGCGCGCGCGCGCGCTCATACACGTATGTACAACGCGTATATATTAACGTACGTGGAACACGTATATACACACACTTTGCGTACATGCGAGGATACATACAGAGATACTACTACACGTACACGCGAATAAAAAAAAAGAACACCACACACACACACACGTGCACACTCGTATTCGCGAGAAGATTAAGTTAATCTCGTTTGTATTAGGCGAGTGCCGGGTGCTCGCGATTCAATTTCACCTCGTGATACACTTTATAATTATTCTTGACGACGGCTCGCTGCGTGGAAGCTCTTCTCTTATTCGATCCCCTATCTTCGCCGGGACGCCGTGCTTGCTCTTATTGTAAGAATTGTTTTATTGGAAATTTATATTGTAATGTAATATTGTATAATATTGTATAATATTAATTTAATATTATAATATGATATAATATTAATTTAATATTATAATATGATATAATATTAATTTAATGTTATAATATGATATAATATTTATTTAATATTATAATATGATATAATATTAATGTAATATTATAATATAATTTTGTATAATACTGTATAATATAATATTATATATATAATATAATATTGTATAATATTGTATAATATAATATTATATTGTATAATATTGTATAATATTGTATAATATAATATTATATTGTATAATATTGTATAATATAATATTATACTGTATAATATTGTATAATATAATATTGTATAGTATAATATTATATTGTATAATATTGTATAGTATAATATTGTGTAGAATAATATTGTATAGTATAATATTGTGTAGAATAATATTATATTGTATAATATTGTATAATATTACATATATAATACATATAATAATTTATTGGAAACTTTGACCGCCGAATCGAAGGTCCGAGACGCAATCGCTGGAATTTGGCGCTGTTTAATTTATTTTTTAATCCGAGAAAGAAAGTTGTAATATAAATATTATTCCAACAACTGCAGAAATCATGTTTTCAAACGCTCTGCGACGCAATGATGCGTTTTTTGGCCGGATCATTTCAGCTGGAATTAATTGAACCGTGAAGAAATGTTTACGATTTCCATTCTATTTATTTTCAGTATTTTCTTTTTCAACGGCTTTATTTAATTTTCAATCGCTCGCAACGTTCGAAGCAGTTGGATAAAATTAAACGTTTTTAATGTCTGTTTGCGCGATTGTTGTTGCAATTGGCACTGCGGATTTCGCGCGTTTATATGGCGGAAATGCTTATTGTTTCAATGTAGTTAGATATTTTTATTCGGCTCTTATTTAATAATTGTTTCATTTGTTTAACGATTCCTCTCACTAGCGCGCAAAAACCATGGTTCGGTAATAACAATGTGAATATATATTATTATATATATTATATTACTATAATATATTATAGTAATATAATATATATAATAATATCTGTCTCTTATACACATCTAGATGTGTATAAGAGACAGATATTATTATATATATTATATTACTATAATATATTATAGTAATATATTATTATAATATATATTATAGTAATATAATATATTATAATATATTACTATATATATATTATATTACTATAATATATTATAATATATTACTATATATATTATTATTATATATATTATATTACTATAATATATTATATATATTATAGTAATATATATTATTCTGTAATAAT